GAGTGGTCCCAGATTGGAGAGGGTGCAGGCCGGGCTGAGGGACAACCCCTCACCCCTGTGCACGAATTCCATGCACTGGGCCACTAGTTGCTGATAATTCCCAAATTCACTTATTAGCACAGACCTTACCCTTGAACTAACTGCTGAAGCCAACTGCCTACTTAACATCTCTCCTTATTGTCTTTCCCATCTCAGGTTATATAACTCCATATTTAGGCAAAAACCTTTGAAGTTACCTCTTCCTCCCCCCAGGCTCATCTCCAAGTTCAATTCCTAGTAAATCCTGTAAACTCTTTCAAAATGCATTCAGAATCCAACCATTTCCATTGTTATCATCCTGGTGTGTGCCATTATCGTCTGTCATTTGGATTACTGACATAGGTTCCTAACTGGTATCCCTGCTTCCATGCTTGTCGCCTATACTCTAATTCCAACTCAGCAGCCAGGTGATCTTTGAAAATATAGGTTAGAAAAAAACTCTTCTCTGCTCAAAACCTCCAATAGCTTCCATTTCACTAGTCCTTACAATAACCTGGCTACCTATTCTCTCTCTGAGTTTATCTACCATCTCGCCCTTGTTCTCAAACCCTTCTCAGACACATGGGATTCCCTGTTCTTGGACCACAACAGACACGTTCCAGCCTATGTAAGTCTTTGTAAAGGCTGTTCTTTCTACCTGGAACACCCCAGTATACACTTAGTTCTCTTAATTCCTTCAAGTATAGCACTTACTTAAGGAGGCCTAAACTGTCATATTTAAAAATCAACTCCCACCTCTACTCTGCAACTTCCCAATCCCCTATTCCTGCTATATTTTTTGATGGCACCATCACCTTCTAACATATTACATGATTTACTTATTTTATGTTTACTTTGTATCCTTCTATAGAATGTAAGTTTCTCCGGGGCAGGGACTTCAGTCTGCTTGTTCACTGAAATTAACCAGGCATCTAGAACTGCGATTTTTTTCAACTGGTGTGTCACAAGAATTATTAAAACATGCAATACCTGACTATTTAGTTAGGGGCACTGACCTCTCTTCTCTTAGATTGTCAAGTAAAAAAAAAAACAAAACAAAAAAACGACAACCGTCAACACAATAGCTGTCTGGTGTGAATGAATAAAAATTACACCTATGTTTTTTTGGTTAGATCAGTAAAAAAAATATATATTTTTGGTGTGCTACTGAATTTTACTAATTCGTTTATGTGTGCCATGAGATGAAAAAGGTTGAAATTGCTGCCACAGATGAAACAGAAATCAAGATCTCAGGAATAAACCCAAACCTATATGGTCAATTACTCTATGACAGAGAGGCAAGAATATACAATGGTATAAAGACAGTCTTGTCAATAAATGTTGGTAAAACTGGACAGATACATGCAAAAGAATGAAACTGGATCACTTTCTTACACCATATATAAGAATAAACTTAAAATGAATCAAAAACTCCTAGAAAAAAAACACAGGCAGTAAACTCTTTGGCATCACTCTTAGTAATGTTTTTTTCTTTTTTGGATATGTGTCCTTGTGCAAGGGAAACAAAAGAAAAAAAAAAAAAGAAAGAAATGGGACTACATCAGCCTGAAGAGTTTTTGTATAGAAAAGGATACCATCAACAAAATGAAAAGGCAACATGAAAAGGAGAAAATATTTGCCAATTATACATCCTATAAGGCAGTGGTTCTCAACCTTCTGGCCCTTTAAATACAGTTCCTCATGTTGTGACCCAACCATAAAATTATTTTTGTTGCTACTTCATAACTGTAATGCTGCTACTGTTATGAATCGTAATGTAAATATCTGATACGCAGGATGGTCTTAGGCGACCCCTGTGAAAGGGTTGTTCGACCGCTAAAGGGGTCGCGACCCACAGGTTGAGAACCGCTGCTATAAGGAGTTAATATAAAAAAAAACACAAAAACATAAGGAGCTTATGCAACTTCACACCCCAAACCCAAATAATCCAATTAAAAATGAGCAGAGAACCTGAATAGACATTTCTTCAAAGAGGATGTACATATGACCAATAGACATATGCAAAGATGCCCAGCATTACTGATCATCAGGGAAATACAAACTAAAACCACAATGAGGTATTACTCCTCACCTGTCAGAACGGCTATCACCAATAAATCAACAAATAACAAGTGTAGGTGAGGATGTGAAGAAAAGGAAATCCTCGCTTACTGTTGGTAGATAGTAAACTGGTACAGCCACTATGAAAAACAGTATGGAAGTTCCTAAAAAAATTAAATAGAAAAACCATATGACCCAGCAATTCCACTTCTGAGTATTTATATATATAAAAAAATACAAAACACCAATTCAAAAAGATTCATGCATCCCTATGTTCACTGCAGCATTATTTACAATAGCCAAGATATGGAAGCAACCTAAGTGTCCATCAATAGACAAATGGGTAAAGAAAATGTATACATATATATGTACAATGGAATATTACTCAGCCATAAAAAATGAAATCTTGCCCAGCCAGGTGTAGCTCAGCGGTTGAGCGTCGACCCAGGAACCAAGAGGTCGCCGGTTCGTTTCCTGGTCAGGGCATATGCCCAGGTTGCGGGCTTGATCCCCAGTGGGGGCATGCAGGAGGCAGCCAATCAATGATTCTCTCTCATCATTGATGTTTCTATCTCTTTCCCTCTCCCTTCCTCTCTGACATCAAAAAAAAAAAAAAAAGAAATCTTGCCATTTGCAACAGCATGGATGGACCTATAGGGTATTGTGCTAAGTGAAATAAGTCCGACAGAGAAAGACAAATACCATTTAATTTCACTTATATGTGGATTCTAAAAAACAAATGAACAAACAAAACAGAAACAGATTCATACAGCGAACTGAAAGTTGCCAGATGGGAGAGGGGTTAGAGGGCTGAGTAAAAAATGTGAAGGGATTAAAACGCACAGATTACCAGTTATAAAAATAGTCATGGGGATGGATGTAAAGTACATTATGTGAAATATAGCCAATAATATTGTAATAGCTATGTATGGCGTCATATGAGCACTAGACTTACTGAGGTGATAACTTTTTAAGTTATGTGTCTAATCACTATGTTATAGACCTGAAACTAATATATTATTGTATGTTAACTGTAATTACAAGAAAATTATAAAAACAATCTTGAAAAAGAGCTGAAGGCATCAAGCTTCTTGATCTATATTACAAATCAATCGTAATCAAACTGTACAGTATTGGCATTAGAAAAGACGCAACGGCTATTTCTAGTCACAAAACATCACCAGTTCACAGGTGGCAAGAGCCTATCCCAGCAGCTTGGGGTGCAAAGTGGGAACCCACCCTGGACAGGACACCCTTCCATGTAGGGTGCAATCTCACACACAGACACTCAGATTGGGACAATGTAGACAGGCCAATTCACCTAACGTGCACATCTGTGGGATGAGGGAGGAAACCTGAGCACCTGGAGAAACGCATGCAGACATGGGGAGAACATGCAAATTCCACACAAATAGTGGTGTTGGCCTGGAATCATTTTTTTTCACCAACATTATAATCAAACGATTTTATTTGAGGTCCTGCAGTATACACAATAAAATGCTTACTATTCAGCCATAACATAAGACTAAAACCTTGCCATCTGCGACAACATGATGGACCCTGAGGGCGTTATGCTAAGTGAAATAAGTCAGAGAGAGACATATGATCTCACTTGTAATATAGAATCTAAAACCCCAAAACAAGCAAACTAAGCTCTGATACACACAACAGAGTGATGGTCGGGGGGCGGGGAAATGTCCTAAGGTTACAAACTTCCATTTATAAAGTCCTGGGGATATAATATACAGCAGCGATTTTCAACCCTTTTCATCTCAGGGCACACATAAACTAATTACTAAAATATTGCGGCACACCGGTTGAAAATCAGACATATAGCATGCCGACTAGTTAAGGATACTGTATTGCATATTTGAAAGTTGCTAAGAGAGATCTTAAAATTCATCACAAAGAAAAACAAATTTAAACTACGGTGGTGATCATTTCTACAATATATACCATTACTTGCTTTAATGATTTTAGATCTTAAAAACTCCTCTGCAATGTTGAGATATTTTAGTTATGTTATCAGCTATACAAATCTACACTCTTTCATTTGCAGTTTAAGGAAAATTAAATTAGAAGGCCCCTCATTTGGAAGTAACTCAAAGTCCTCGTCCTTGATAAAACTATCCAGTTAAATTCACTCCTTTGCCGAAGTTCGCATGAAGTCGGGAGACGGACTTCACAGGAGCGCAGCAGCACAAGAATGAGGGAGCGCGCTCCCGGCTTCGGCCCCCACCCCAAAGCCTGGGTGCTGCAGACAGTCACCTGGCCCACCTGGCCCACCTGGGCGCGGGGCCGGGCGCGGGCCTCCCCTAGCGCCTTTCGGCGGGCGCCGGGGGAGAACAAGCCTCCGCCGCCTTCCTCCCGGGTCCCAGCCGCGGGGCCATCCCGGCACTGAAGTCGGTAACAGGTCGACCCGGGACTCGGGAGCGAAGGGCCTCCCCGTCCATGCAGCCCTCGGAAAAGACCCGACCGACGGCAGCCCCGGCACTGGGAGCGGGGCAGGGCTCACTCGTACCTGTGCGGAAGGCGCTTCCCGCCGCGGAGCGGACAGAACCAGCACCGCCAGGAGCCCGGGAGGTTCCTACCACCTCTTCCCCAGCACCTCTTTGGCAGCCGCAGAAACCGCACAGCTAGGCCAACGACCCGGAAGTGCTCGCAGAACCTGGAAGTGGCGTCACGGCGGGGGCCAGGAAGGCCCCGCCCACCAACTCCTCCCGTACGCCACTCAAGTTTGGCGAGGGGAGGGCGGAGTTGTGAAGAGAGGAAGGGCGTGGGGCCCAGGACAGGTAACTGTTTCGAGTAATTCACCAGGTTTACTAAATCGTTCATAAGAGAATTATAATTTTTAAGAATAATCTTCTCCACTGTAAGATGCACAGTTAGGAAATGCAAGGCATTCATATTTTATGCCTGAGATGTGTTCAGGGTTAATACTGTTCAAAACCTTGCAATGCTAAATTTAAGACAAATTCTTAAAATTATGCCAGGAATTTATTTACCGTTCAAATTAGGGCTGCAATTAATTTAGCCCAGAAAGCTTTCAGTTTATGATTCATGAAGAACTTCAATTTGTGAGAATTTGTATTTATTATTTGTTCCCAATGCAAGACAAATACTCTTATATAGGGCGTTCCCCCAAAATGTATACACTTAACTGATAGCTCAATTGATGTTTCTTTTTAGATTTAACCCATTGGAACTAATAATTATTCAAGGTGTGTATACATTTTTGGGGACACCCTGTATTTTGAGTTTATATAATCCCAAATGCTGTCCTATGGAATAAAAGCAGCAGTAATGTGCACAGCTGTTTGCCATAAGTGGCTGACTAGTGATTAAGGAGTAAATGCAAAATAAGTGCTAGATGGATCCTCCCAACAGGTCTATAAGCTATACAGGTTGTCATTTGTACCATGTGTTCAGCCATTTATTGAACTGATTTCATCGTTGGATTGCCCACTAACCAAAAGAATTCTAAACTATGAAACACAAAGTTTGGTTATAGTTAAGATAACATTTAACCGGGGAACAATTTGTAAAATAGATGATGTCTAACCACTATACTGTGCACCTGAAACTAATACAAAATAATGTTGGATGCAAACTGTAACTGAAAAATAAAATTAAAACAAAAATCTTCATTACAGAATTATAATACCCACTTGGAATTCAATTTAATCAGACCTTGTCAATATTTATAAAAGATCTTAAAGAATTTTAATAAAATCTGGGAATTTATTTAAAAAACAAACACAAACAAGATAGTATTAAAATTAAAAGCAGGGTGGACTCTTCACCCCCCCTGGACAATATGAAGCAGCACCAGATTATAGGAAGAGAATCAAGAGTAACGGTCTAAACGATTTGAAAGACAAGATAACTCTGTAAAAATTCACTATCATAATGGAAGACGGAAAAAATGTGATAAAATGAGACAAAAACAAACTTTCCAATTAATTTATTTAAATTCATTAACGTTGCAAAAATACGATGTGCAACAGATCAGGACACAAGTTACTGTATTCCTAAATAAAATATTACATCTCCTTAGTAAATCAATACCAACCCTAGTATTTCTTACAGGGACCACATAAACATCTTGCACACACAGCCACCAATCAGAACTGAATTTCTCAAACACTGTAAAATGAAAGCACTAAGCTAGGCAAAATCATCTGAATAGTAGTAAAATTATCACAGTGCATTAATTTAGTTTAAATGGCAACATGTGAACCAATGATAAGAAAAATGTTTGAATTTTTGAAATACATATCAAAGTGTGTTAGTATCGAACAAACCCTGAATTTTGTTCTATTTGAATAATGCCCCAAGGGCTATGCAAGTTAGTGGCCTTGAACAGCACCAATATTTACTAGCTAGGTGTATGTAAATAAACTGTTTAAGGGGCAAACTTTAGAAAGTCCATATACAAAAAGGGCAGTGGAGTAGCTAATTTATGTTTTCCAAGTTCCTCCTTATCCACAGAGAATATGAAAACAAAATTTTTAAATGCAAATGTCTTAGCTTCTTGTAGAATGTCTTATAAGACAGAATCAGACAGCTGTCTGAAACGGACAGCTTACTGTAATTCTTTAATTTGAAAGCATTAAACCTTGATTTTCATCTGGTGTTTGATTTATTAAGTGCTTCATGTGAACTTTTTGTAGCATTTTTAAAAGTAGTTCTCAAAACATAAAATATTAAGTAGCTCTGTCATATACAACAAAGTTACAGTTCTGTTCAAATTTTAGTGTCACTCCTTACTGCTCAACACATTACCTTATTTTCAATTACTATTTATAACTTTAAAGGAAAATTGCATTACAGGGACTCACCATTGGTCTAACTCGAATTCATTCAGAATCTTGGGACAGGAAGAGGGGAGTTAAAGGCTAGTAGGTAATTCTTCTGTGCTTAGAACATCGAGTAGATAGTCTCCTACTTCCCTGTCCTGCTGACTTTCCCATGCAAGTCTAAATTCTTGATTCTCTCAGCGGCTCAAATGATATAATTCCTATTCCCTATGACAAGATAAAATCTAATAGAATAATTGGTCTATTACTGTAAGTACAGTAATTCCTCTACCCATCCCATCCTTCTGAGAATTGTAATCCATTTCTCAAAAATCTAAATATGATGGGGAAAATATATGCATGAAAACAAAATAAAATGGGGTAGCAATCTCTTATTTTTAGCCTATCCCCTCCTCCCTTCTGGTTGAACCATATTAGCAATTTTCCATATGACACAGGAAAAGGGAAAATGAAGCTGCTGTCACATTATATACAACCTTACCAATCTCATTAGGAAACTGGCCTATTCTATCCGACGTATCCTAATGCTAATTTATCTATCAATTGAAGAAATCTAAAAAGCCACTGCTTGCATTAAATCACTTTCAAATTCCCTGAGCACTCACATAAAAACAGCCAAATAGCAACATTATAGAGCCATTTACAAAGTCTCTATCAAAAACCAGACCTCTTACTTTTTTAAATTCTGGAATTTCAGTTGAAGAATTCCTATCTAACAAAATATACTTGTCAATCAGCAGATTTCAGTATTCAGTGCAGTTACTAAATAGTGATGTCTATTTTGGAAGACTACATTAATATTTACCAACCATGACATATGAAAAATAACCTAGTCCTAAACTTTAACTTGTGCACTATAAATTGCTGACCCTCTTTGTTCAAACTTGCTTCTGTATGAAGGGACATAGCAGAAGAAAATATGAATTATCATTATAAGTATCAGCCTTTCCCCCTTCACATATTCTGTGTGTAGCATGTAGGTTTTCCTGCTGGATACACAAAATGGTACCAACAGCTGCCAGTACTGAATGTAACAGGGACACATTCAGTGGCATCTTAGGTAACAGCTAACTCTTTACCCCTTCATAGTTTTCTTTCTTTTACTTCCTTGTTTTGTTACCTTTTCCAACTACCTGCTGGGCTCTACTTAGAATCCTATTTCTTTATTACCTATCCCCCGATTTCCAGAGTTAAAGACTATTAAGCTTAAACTATGGGGTCAACATAGCATCTTTCCTTGGTGGTATTTAGGAATATAACCAAGTAGAACACAAATTACTTTATATGAGAAACTACTGACTAATAAAAGGCACTCAGAGCCCAAGTATAACACAAAAAGTGAAAGAACCATCAAATTAAACCAGTTAAGTTAGATCCATGACCCCAGCAGGAAGATAAAATAATATAAATATCTGTACTTTGTTCCTATCAACAGTGTAAAATTAAAATTGAATGCTTTGGGGGAAATGTTAACATAACTACAAATTACAAATTTAACAAATGCTTTTCTTCTAACCTACTTAAGTCTTAAGTCTTACAATTATGAAACATTTATTATGGGGCATGTCCCTATACCAGATTCCATTAAGGTGTAGGTGAGAGCAGGTATCCTTTGAATCTAGTGACTCACAGCACATCCCTTTTGTTATATTCCAGTGTTATCACTGTACCTTCTGAATCTTAATGTTCTAGTAGAATACAGGCTAATTCTACTTTTAAAAATTATTTAAAGAACACATCATTTTTGTAACAAGTTGGATCTGTAGTTAGAAACAATGCTTACAAAAGGAAAAGTCAATAAACATAATGAAGTTGAAACTGAACGGGGTACTTGATGTAGAGGAAAACCACCCATTTTAATAAAGCTCAGCCCATTCTGAGCCAGATGAAGACCTGTAGATAAAAGGCTAAAGCACTCTACAAATATAGATTCTAATCACAATTAAATTCAGTATTATCCTTTATTCTCATCATTCTTATATAGTGAAGTCAGAAGGAATACCTAAATTAATGTTAATTTGGTGTTTCAGTACAAAGTGTTTCTAACATTTAAGCAACAATAAGGGCTTGATTTTATTCACTATAGTGACATTAGTTTGGGATCTGCCTATAGCTGCTGGATCCAAGTCAAGTCAGGAGGCCCTGAGGGCATCTCGTCCTGGGAATCCTCCAACATCCCCCTTCATTGGATTTAAGTTAGCATGCAAGTTTATGACTGAAGAGCACAAAAGGTAAAGAAAAATTCCCTTTTGTAATAGGAACTTTATACTAAAAGCGGAAATGGTAAAAGCCACATGTGTCTTCAGTCCAGAATAGAATGAATCTTAAAAGTTTAGCTCTCATCCACTTCAATTATGCTACTCCAGGACACTCTTGTAAATTACCTTATAAGAAGGACTGGAATGTGATGTGACCCTCAAATTTGGAGTTTACCAAATGTATGAGTCACACAAGTATATGACACAACATTAGACCAATCTGCTTTTAGGATGACTTTGTGGGTAAATTTAGTTCTTTTTCGAGGCATAAGTACAATTGATTTCAATGTAGAGTCAAGGTATTTACCAAATTAAACAAGGAGTTTATATGCTATATCAAATGTGTCATCCAAAACAGTATAATACAATGATGCTCTATGATTTAGAAAATAGCTTAACTTATAGGAAATGTGAAAACATACTGTATCTGACTACCAAGTCCAAATAACTGATATGGAAGTATTATGGTAAAGTGCCCACACTGGGAGCAATTAAAAAAGCAGCTCCTGTTTTCTACAAAAAAGTAGTGACAGTGAATAACTCATCATGTTCTCTGAATAGTACACTGCACCCACACAAATTCACAACAGTGATACCCTGGAAGCAGCTTATTTCACATTAGTGAACAAATCTAAGATTTTTATAAAGGTCTGTCTTTTGGCCAGAAAATAAAATGTCCCATATATATACATATATGTACAAACATCAATTCTTACCCTCTTAAATTCTCCAGTTCTAAAACTGGCTTTTTAAGTTGTCTTTAAGTTTAAAAAGGAAAAAGTGTGCATTACACTTGTAATTGTGCTTCTGAATTAAGGAACAATATATGTTAAGTGATTAAAAAAGCTTAGGATGGTACTAATCTACTTAGATTATATGCATGACCTTTGGGTATTCATGAGAATCAGTTTAATTGTCCCTAACCTTATGAGCCACTTCCTTTTTTTAAGTTACCCAAGAAATGTAGTTAGCCATTTATAAAACACAAAAATTCTAACATGCACTTTACAAAATCATGGTCTTATTTATCTGCATATTCTTCCAAAAGACAGGTATACATTAAAAAATATTGCTCAAAACATAAAAATATATATTATCTCTTTCCTTGACCAATTAGGCATATAAATATTTTACTGAAGAAGACGCATCATTCAATAAACAAATGCAAAAACCACTTTATATAAAGTGTGGATCTCTGCTTTAAGCAATATAAAATATAAAATGATTACATTATCATTAGCTAGTAAAGAGCTAAATTCAAGAGATTTACAAACCAAAACAGTAGTGAACAGTCCCTTATACAAAAGTCCATTGAGAAAAAGTCAAGTTGATTTTGTAACAGGTTACATAAAAATCAGGGCCAATAAATGCATTGTAAATGCAAAAAAGAGCACTGCTTCATCAGCACATTCTTCAGTCTTGTTTGGACTAGATGCCAAACTTACTGTTCACTTTTTGGTTCATCTTGTTTTCCATTAAGCTCTTGATCAACTCTGTTTAATGAAAAACAATATAGATAATAAAACACTAGCAACTGAATAATTTTCTTCTTAAAAATAATTACTTTTAGCATAGAATATTATTCTGTTAAAAACAAAGCTTTGCCAAGAAGCAGACACAGTAAAAAGGTTACCAAACATTTCCCCAACAAGGAAAGATAATTTTTAAAGTCAAGAGAACACTGACAAGAAACCTAACTGTTGTTTTTTTAAAAATTATAAAATACTTATGTACAAATAAATGCACATAACCTTTATTAAAACTTCAAATTACTGAACTTTCCTGAACATTACATCCTGAACAACAGTGCATACTGAAATGTTGGACTGTAACATAGCTGGGGTAGGGATCTAAGTGAAAAGCGAGTGGTAGGAAAAACAATTCTTTCAAAAATGATTTTGTTAAGTGGTATAATAAAATGCCACTACAGTCATGCGCCAGGTAACGATGTTTCAGTAAACGATGGACCACATATATGACAACTGTCCCACAAGATTGTAGTGGAGCTAAAAATCCCTATCGCCTAGTGACATTGTAAGGCCATAGCACACACGAGACAGTAATGTCCTAGTCCTTCACATTCACTCACCACTCACTCATTTCCAGTCCTGCAAGCTCCGTTCATGATAGGTGTCCTGTACAGGTGTACCATTTTTTATCTTTTACACTATATTTTTATTGTACCTTTTCTATGTTTGGAATTATTTAGACAAACAAACATTTACCACTGTGTTACAACTGCCTATAGTATGTTCAGTATTAGTACAGCTATATGCTGTACATAGCCTAGAAGCAACAGGCTATATCATATAGTCTAGATGTGCAGTAGGCTGTACTATCTAGGTTTGTGGATGTTCACACCATCACAAAATAGCCTAACGACACAATTCTCAGAACACATCCCTCCCCATCGTTAAGTGACGCATGACTGCACTTCAATGCTCAGTTTTGAACTGTCCTTTTCATCAGTACTCACTCATCATAGAGATTTCACTTTAAGTAAGCTATCCCACATTTAGCCTGATAACTTTTGGTTTTAAAAACATGCCCCTCTATTTTTAAAATTTGAATGTTATCATTTTCAAGCTAACACGAATTCATGAATTTTTTAAGGTTAAACTTTATATAAAAACTATGAAGTGCCTAAAAGATATACATAATGATTCTATTAAGGTTAAACAAAAGTAAAAAAAAGAGAACATAAAGAAAAAAACAAAAAACCAACACGATAAAATAGTAGTGTTAGGTTCCAAACAATACATTTAAATAAAAAGTACAGTTCCACTTTTTTCTGATGCCTAAATCACTTAATAGATAACTAAATACTAAGAACTTGGTAAAAAGGCACAATACAGCAGATTTCATCAATAAAGGCAATTCATTTTGAAATCCATGAAGCAGCTGGTTTCAAAATATTCTACAATTACAGGTTATATTTTTAATTCCAGCCATTTATCTAGCAAATGTACACCAATGCCTAGAAAGGAACGAGAAATTAGCAAGATCTAAAAATCACTGCCCATATCTCTGTTAAACTATTTGATAAACTGTAAAGTGTCATATAGAAATGTAAAGCTATTATTCTATCACGTGGTCAACTGAATTTTTGCTCATCAACAGAGACAAAATATGTCCAAAGTTAAGAATGTTCCAGTTACTTACAATTGGTTCTTTAGAATGGTCAAAATGATAATTACATAAATCTCTCACCTTAACTCTTAAGAAAGATTGCATTAAACTGTATTGCTAATTTAATTGTCAATATTTTAAGTCCATTAACAAGTTAGATCCAAATCCTACACTTTTTAAAATTACTATATAAAATGTAGCTGTTTTATACCCTTGCCTTTCATCTTCTATGCCAAGGTATTAATAGATAATAGTTTGTTATGCTCAAAGCAGAAGTATTCAAAATTAAAATTAAGATGGAAAGCGGGGTGTTTAACTATTAAATGGTACATTGATCTTTTAGGTATTTTATCACATGTAGAATCTGACTGGTTAGCAGGCCATTTAAGCATACAAAGAAATCAGTGTTGGTTAGCCAAAGAATATGTGCATTTTAAATATAATCATTAACCCCAGAAAAGTAAAATAACTTCTTTAAAAAGTGCACAAATAATTCGAAAGCACAAATTATAGATTAAAAAATATGGTAAAAATAATAAAATATTAAAAATAATTGATTTTTCAAATTGTATTCTTAGTAATTCTTCTGGTTTACCATCAGTATTTATACCCGAAAGAAGGGAGCACAGGCTGTGGCCTTTAATTACTAATTGGCAATATATATGGTGTTAAAACAGAGTAAATCCAAGCCACAGGCAGCATCAGGAACATTGGATTCACTCTGCATTTGGATTCTGGGGTGTACTTATATTTACAAATGCTATTATCTTTGTCTACAAGCTAACCAACCAGTAAGGAAGTTAGTCTGTGCAATGCAAATGGACTAGTCTAGATGCAACCCAGTCAAGGTGTGCATATACCTTTTTTGTTTCTTTTTTAACTTTTCTTCTTCATACCTTGGTAGGGAAGAGTTATTTGAGTAAATACACATGTTATAAAGATAAACAAAAACTCAAAAAAGGCACTTAAAATCATTTAGGTTTGCAGGCAAAACAAAAAATATTTAATACAGTAATACAGAAAATCACAACTGACTTAAGAAATCTGGCTTTGACACATTCAACAGACTAAAACCTCAGATTAACAGAACAAAGACACTTTTTCTACATTATAGCACCGTGATACTCAAGTATTTTACATTAAAAGCCTCTACCAAGCTCTTTTAAAAAGGTTAGATAAAAGTTAATTTGGTAAACAGAATAAATTCTAGTCCTGGAAAGTATTAAGGCTATGCTGATCTAAATAACATTTTATTTCTCTAGTAATATTATTCAATGTCATGACAAGCTTTTACTCAAATTAGGAGAGCAGCATGCCCAAATTTGGAGAATGTTCTTTAGCACTGACCAATCAGGAAATCATCTCTCAGACTGTAAGCCAGTCTTTACAAATATGAATGAATCACAACCAGAAATAATACTTCCTATTTCTTCAACTGACAGACTGAAGAAAATGGTGAATTATGGGGAAGGTGCTGGAAAATGGCTTCTTTTGTTTTGTTAATCCTCATCCAAGGATATTTTTTTCTACTGATTTTTAGAGAGTAGAAGGGAGGGAGAGGAAAGGAGGGGGGAGAGGGGGAGAGGGAGAGAGAGAGAGAGAGAGAGAGAGAGAGAGAACAAAGACCTTTTGCACTCACCCTGACCAAGGATGGGGATCGAACCTGCAACCCAGGTATGTGCCCTTGACTGGGAATCAAACTGGAGACCCTTCAGTGCTCGGGCCAACACTCTAACTGCTAAGCAACACTGGCCAGGGCTAGCTTGTTCTTTTTTTATTTTATTACAAAAAACAAGAGAAGTTACAAAATACTTACAATCTATGAAATGAGAAAAAATGAGTATTAAAAATATTTACCTCTTGCACATCAAAATATAAAGATCCAATACAATTAAAGAAATAAAACAAAACATACTGTTTTATGCATTCTGGTATGCCAACATACTCCATGGGGACAAGTTCCGCTAGTTCTGCCAAATTAAAGACGTATCTAATTTTTTGGCTGAATTTTGAGCTATGGAAGAAAATAAAAATAATTACCTCAATATTTCTGACCAGCAGCACTGACAAGAAATTCATATAAGGAGTTTGTGTTCCTGCTTTTTAAAAATGTCAATGGCATTCAAAAAATTACCTAATAAACGGTCTTGTAACAGCCAGAAGTGTTCTGATAAACCAAGAGGGATGTACGATGATTAGAGATTTTAGGTTTTTCCGTAACCTGGAGTTAAAAAGAAAGAAAGAAAAATTTAACAAGCTCTACAAATCCTAATGCTAGAAGTTAAGCGATCAATAAGTATATGGAAGTTGAAACAAAAATTAATTGAAAATCCCTCACCTAAGTGTTCTCATTTAGATGTGATATTCCGTCAAATACAAGATAATGCACTCCTGAATTGTGATGGTCCCTCCTACTGGTATGAAATAAACTTTACTTCTTTTGGCTACATTTATGTATAGCACTTGTCTTCAGGACTGCCACCCAAGGGTAGAGGCTAATACTGAATACAGAAGTAAACTGTTCACATTTTTCAGGACTGGGAAGAAACTGGTACTAATTTCCTCAAGACCATGAAAGGCACTGTGCAAGCAAAAAGTTGGGGGTGGAGATTACCACAGTAACCGGCAGCATAAATTAGATCTCATGAGTTCTTACAAAGTCTAAAATTTTTATTAAAAATGAAAGGCATTATTCTAGACAATTTAAAATGACCAAATAACTTTTATCACACATATTTTGCAGTTAAATAAAGTGATTGTTATGAATCTTTTTGAAATGACAAGAACGAGTCCATGTCATACGAAGAGAAACCTATTAATGGGTCTGAGCTGATTAAACTAGCTTGAATTAGTTATGGTCAAATCAAATCAATCAGAGGAACAAAGTTCCTTCCATTAGCATGGATGACTAACTAACTTCCAATAGAATACACTTTTAGAGCTCATTCCAAAGAAAGATTACAGCTAAATAAGCACCGTAACATAAAATATGCTAACACTATAACTTAGGCAAAACTAAGAATGTAATAAAATAGAAAATGTACCAAGTTCTCTATCCTTTCCCCAAAACGTAAATTACTGGAAAATGTTCAGCGTGGTATAAATAAGGAGCAATAAAGAGCTATTATATAAATCTGTTTTAAGGAATTAAAGTTATTCTTTATAAAACAGATCAAAACTAATTTCCTTCATAACATTTAAAAATACTGTATTGAGAAAATAGAAACTTTCTATGAAATTAATAAATGTAATTTAGGAAGTGTATACATGGTACCTTTGAGTGCCAACAGAAAATAATATAATAAGGCCATTATACAAATTATTCAGACTAGCTGTCACCTTGTATTTATAGTACCTTCTATCAATCTGCTGATAGCATTTCCTGAGCCATCCCAGACTAGGCATTTTCCTTCGCGTCGTTGCACCATTTAAATAAACTATCATGTAGTTTTCTGCTACTAATAGTTCCAAAGTGCCAATAACATACCTGTAAAAGCAAATTAAAACTTTAAATAACAGTTTTGTGAACCAAACTAGGTTATCCAAATTATACAGTTCCCTTCCCTCTCCTCAATGATAGAAAAACCAATTAAAATTTTGACAGCGTTAGTTGGTATAATGGCTATTTTTTTAAAGTTATCTTCTGTTTATTTTTAAAATTAATTACATTTATTGAGATAACATTGGTTGAGTTACCTTTTAGAAATACACATTGAAATGTTTATAGATGAAATATGATGTCTGGGATTTGCTTCAAAATTATACAGTGGGGGAAGTTTGAATTGTGGGAATGAAGTCTAAATTGATGATTGTGGAATTGGGTGATTGGTACACAAAGATTCAATACACTGCTCTTTACTTTTGTATATGTTTGAAACTTTCCACAACAAAGTTTTTAAAAAACTGCACTAATTTGAGAAATAGAATGACTTTGTGGAAATACAATAGAACTGAGTCAGCTTAGTTACATTTGGCTTTTCAGGGCTAAATGTAATTTAGTCATGTAATTTTGAAATTTAAAAAAGTCACTCCTTTATCCTCAATGTGTCCTCAACTATAAAATAGAGAAGCTGGAACAGATTATCTGAAATATCCCTTCCAGTTTTAAAATAATAATTTTTTTCAGTCAAGTTGAAAAACAAATAGTTTCATAATGCTAAAGAATAAGTACTTAAAAACAACCAGACTTGGGATATTTTTAATTTTTACCCAGCTAAACTTCAATTCCTTAAATTGGACATCTAATTAACTTGGAATTCTGTCCAAACATTTTTGTGAAGATATACATACTTAAAGAGATTGTCCATCAGGTATCTATAGTTAGGTTGACCACTTTCAGGCATAAAACAGACAGCAAACACAACAATGGCATTTAATCCATCCCCATAATATCCTGAAAAGAAACCAAAGATAAAATCACCAGCATGATTTTACTCTGAAGATTTTTCAGAGGACATCTGTATGGTTGCTAGAGTATAAGTGGTTTACCTTCCATAAAATTTTGGATCAAAAAGTATGTTTTTTTTTTTTTTAGATCTTTACCCTCTTGTCAAAAAGACAACAATAACATTTGATGAAGAAGAAAGGGTGGGCATAAAAAGCAGAAACCCACTTAAACCAGCATAATCAGAAAGCCAGACTTGTTTTAACAAGTAAACAAATATAATGATATAACCCAAGCAGACACGATACAACAATATCTGCAATAAAACATTCTAATGCAACTCAGGTTAGAGTGGGTGCTTTTTTTTTTTTTTTAAGTCTTTAAAAAATATATATGTTTTTATTGATTTCAGAGAGGGGAAGGGAGAGGGAGACAGAAACAGTGAAGAGATAAACATCGATCAGTTGCCTCCTACAGGCCCCGTACTGGGGATTGAACCTGCAATCCGGGTGTGTTCCCTGATTGGGAATTGAACCAGCAACCTCCTGGTGCATGGGATGACGCTCATCCAACTGAGCCACAGCAACTGAGCTAAACAGATGCTTTGTAAAAAAGTTATGTTCACCCTAGCTGGTTTGAGCGTCAGCCTGTGAACTGAAGGGTCCCGGGTTTGATTCCAGTCAAGGGCACGTAGCTCGGGTGCAGGCTCCTCCCCGGCCTGGGCCCTGGTCGGGGCTCGTGCAGGAGGCAACCAATTGATGTGTTTCTTTCACATCGATATTTCTCTGTCTTTCCCTCTCTCTTCCACGCACTCTAAAAATCAATGGAAAAATATCCTTTGGTGAGGATTTCAAAAACAAAAACAAAATAAATAAATAAAAAAGAGTTACGTTCAACATTGCCTAATGTTTTGTAGATTTTAGGGCATTAATACCTAAGAAAACATCATCTCTCTGATATAATTCTAGAAAAACAGAGCTAAAATGTGTATTTTTGAATTGTAATGTTTAGATATTAAGTGTATCCAATAACAAATATTTTTGCTGTAACTTTCTTTTCTATTGTTTGCAAACATGCACTAAAAAGATTTGAACATTTCAAATACATTAAAATCTCTTCTTAATCCCTTAGTCACAAAATATAGTGATAAATTCAGTAAGATACACTTGCCCTAATTATTTTAAGAAAAATAAAGTATTATTTCTGAAAAATATTGTGTTTAAGCCATGAGCTAGGTCTCACAACCTGCTTTGTATGAACTATCTGAATTAATATGTCTGTGGACTTCCTGCTCTATATTATCCTGTGGTGGTGTTTTGTTTTTCATCTGCGTAAGATTAAATTAGGCAGAATAATTTAACTGCAAATATTCAAGTGAATTGCTCTCAGATGAATGAAGACTATAGAAATAAGCAAGGGGGTGCCTTTGGCAGAGAGTAAATTAAGTGGAAATAATTCTATATGATAAAACCTATCAGCCTGACCTATGTGGCTCCCTGCCTGCATTGGAAGGATTTCAGGTAACATGACATGCTCTAGAGTGAGTTGCATTTTGGCTAGCACTAACATTCTAGCACTGTTTGCACAATGCCAAGGTAAACTTCTATACACAGCAAAGACAGACTGACAGAAGTTATAATTGTCTTCATAGCTTTACCTATTTGACTTATAAATTTCTTAGGGGAAGGGACAAAAAGCCTTATATTTTTGTATATCCCACAAATATGCAAAGTAGAACCTACATAAAAATGTGGAATGAACTGGGTTTCTACTTTGTAGTAAAGATGAATGATTTGTTCAGGGTTTTAAGGTAAATTAAGAATCATAGTTTAAAAAGCCAGGTTTTACTTATATCCATAAAAGACTGTATAAGAATGTTCATTGCAGTTTTAATAATGATAGCCCAAATTTGAAACAACTAACATGTCCATCAAAAGAAAGCTAGATAAGCAAACTGTGGCTTACCCATGCAAGGGAAAGCCACTCAGTAGTAAGAAATAAACTACAGATGCAGGAAACTACATGGATGAATCTCAAAAACATTAGGCTGAGCAAAAGAAGTAGATCAAAGAGTGTACACCATATGACTCCAGTTACATGAAATTCTATAACAGGTACAACTAACCAGGGGGTAGACATTAGAATAGTGGTTACTGGAGAGGTAATCCTTGGGAGGGAGTATGAAAACGTTCTGTATGTCTAGGGGTGTAGGCTATAGGGGTATATATGGTTATATGGGTATTTGTCAAAACTAAATGAACTGTACACTTAAGATTAGAACATTTTTAAGTGAAATAAGTCAGACAGAATAAAAACAAATATGATATTACTTATATGTGGAATCTAAAAAAACCCAAACTCAGAAAAAAAGACTGGAATGGTGGTTACTATGGGATGCAGGAAAAGGGGAGATGTGTCAGAGTACAAACTTCCAGTTAGAAGATGAATAAGTTCTGAGGATCTAATGTATAGCACGGTGACAATAGTTAGTAATTCTGAGTTATGTATTTGAAAGTTGCTAAGATTTCAAAATGTTCTTACCACAAAAAAGAAATAGTAATTATGTAATCTGATGCAGGTGTTAGCTAAGGCTATGGTGGTAATCACTTTACAATATACAAGTGTATCATACCAACATGCTATACATCTTAAACTTATAATACAATGTTATATGTCCATTATATCTCCATGAAGCTGGAAAAAAAAGAAATTTGCAAATGCTACAAAAACGGTTTAGAACATTTCACTGCATATATAAATTATAAATGGATACAAAAGGGGAGAAAGTCTCAGTTTTGGGGATGGTGTCAAGGGATAGGGTGGGAGGGAGAATTTTCATTGCACATTCTTAGAACTTTTGAACTTACTATAGTGCATGTATTAATGATATTTAAATGCTGGTTTTATTCTTTTAGTTCAAACCTGTTATGTTACTAAAATGGCATGATAAATATTTATTATTTTTTCAAAATTACATAATATCTCAAGGGAGAGTTTCTTTAAGCAATTAGGTTTCTGATGTTGCATTAAAAAATCTAAACAATCTTAGGTAACTCTTACCTCCATGACTGATAACTTTTTTATAGGGTTCAATGGCCTTCATATCAACTCTGTGGTCCTGTTCTCCAATTCTGAACATACGCCAGCGTCGTCCATCTTCTTTTTCCTCCTCTGCTGTGTATTCGGTAATTGAGCCTTTCCTAATAACTTCAGTAGTTTTGGGTTTTGGAAGATCATCTGTCAAAATAAAAGGTTTTTGAATCCCAAATTGTTACTTATACCACAAAATAAAATTACATGTTAACCACTTTGCTATCTAATTAGAATGTTTGGAGACTTTTTCATTATACTTTTTGTGGAATATTAAATATTTCTTTCATAATAGAAGGAAAGGCTTGCTCTTCAGATGAAGTCATTTTATGCTTTTGGAAATCATGGTTCTTTAACTTTTTTTGGATTGCCTAATTCAGAAAGCACCTAATTGCAGTACAAGGTATATCTGTAAGTTCAGAAAAGATAATTCATACAGCCATCAAAATCTTAGTACACTGGCCCTACAATGCCTTTCCAGATTCTGTTTATAACAAGACTGTCCTTGACAGTTATCAACACTATAGGTTACTTAATTATCTGGGAGCCAATCATTTTTTGTTGTTATTGAGCACATAAATTATTCCCCAAACATTATAGCAGTAGAAAGTGGTTAACCAGTCAATGATTACTGCTCATTTGATCAGTTTTTTAAAGCAGAAATTTATTGATAATATTCTTAAGTATACATGCAAAAGTATATTTTAAATTGACATTAGCCAAAGCATAAGCACCAATGATTAGGTGTAATTTATATTTCAAGATTGTATTTTAGATGATTTTTAATGCTGTAATGATTTTCAAAATTTTATATCATAGTCCTTACCAAAAGATGGGGGGAGGGGAAACCTACTGCATGTTAGTTGTTTGTTTCCAAGACAAAGCAGTTAACGGAAAATATCCTTCCAGGAAATGACTAGAGATGCATTAAAGAAAGAAGAAACAAAACACATAGGCAGAAAACTATTTCAGTATTTTTATAAAATATTGCTTCTTACTGGACTGTTTATTGAACCAATAAACAGGGAAGAAAAAAGGAACAAAAGGTACAGCACATCAAGGATCTTACACTTCACTGTAGATAATATACTTAGTGCTAAATACTGCTTTGAAGTAAAAATAATTTCAAAGATGGTATATACATATAAATTATCAACAATACAAAGACACTGTAGCCAACAAGTATCTAATTAAAGAAAGCACGCGAAGCAAAACACATGCAAATTCCTTTGGATTTCAAATAACAAATGATGACGAATATAAAACTGAGGCTAGAGTATACATTAATTCAAGCTGGTTGTTTACAAAGTGCAGCAATATCAGCAAACCTATTTTTTTTTTTTTTAAATCATCCTCAAAAAACTCCCTTTAGGACTCTCTCTCTGCAAACCCTTAACTACCTTTAGCACATCTCCTAAATTATATGTCTCTTCAAAGCTTATTTTTAGTGGATCAACTGAACGTAAGACTATGCCATAATTATCAAGCAATATTTTGGGAGCGACCATGAAAAAAATGTAACTTCACAGCAATTGAGAAAAATAAAAAAGCCACCTGCGTAATCTACTAAAAATAGTTTGAAAGCCTCGAGAATATTCAGTTAGCAAAATTTCATACCTTAGTAAAAAAGGAAAAAAAAAAGAACTTTATAAAAAATAATATATTTCAACAAAATCCCTTAATCATTAATTTTAACATCAAGTTTTAAGTTTTTTCCAATTATCCTATGAGAATGCCATTACAAAAAACACACATGTATATAAAGACAAACATTCATTAATAAAAGTTAGATAAAAACAATGAAACATTTACCTTCCCACTCAAATTCATTACTGTTCTCTGATGGTGTATCTAAGCCATCTAAGTCAATCTCCCCACTTTCATCCAAATCATCCGACAACACAGAGCCATCACTAGGATCCAGGGTCAGGCTAATGTCTGGAGCCATTAGTTTCTTTCTTACTTTATTTCCATTAACTTCTAGTGAGCCTGGAATGGGTAAACCAAGTGAAAGATGTATTAGAAGGAATGTTTAAATGTCCACCACTTCATCCTTAGGAAAAATAAAATTAAACACAATCTCAAAGCACTAATTTACAACTTTGGATTTTGATCACGACTGCTTCTACCTCATGGCAAGATGGTGTATCCCAGCAAAGATACATCTTTTTAAATAGAGGCAGATCTCATAGTCACCTCTACTACTAAAAATGATCTACTCTCATCCCTTTAGTGTAGAAATTTCCAAAAACCTCTAAAGTATTCCAAAAATTCTTTCCTCAACATTCAACTTATCTTTTGCTCTCTATGATGAAACAAACACCAAGTATATTTTTCCCTTGACAAAGAAATGTGTTCAAAAATAGCACAGTCTATCACTTTACTGAAACTAAAAGTGTCAAGTTCTTACCAGGCTGGTTCTCTGGTTCAGTTACAGCTAATATATCTGCTTCAATACTATCATCTTCTGGTAATGGTCTAGAAGACAAAGACATACTTTTAAGTAAGAAATTAAAAAAAATTTTTTTTCAAGTCCCAAGTTCTATTAAAAATAGCTTATAGCCCTAGTTGGTGTGGCTCATTGGATAGAGCATTGGCCCTCGGACTGAAGGTTCCTGGGTTTGATTCTGGTCAAGGGCGTACCTGGGTTGCAGGTTCCATCCCCAGCCCTGGTGGGGGCTCGTGTGGAAGGCAACTAATTGATGTGTCTCTCTCATTTGATGTTTCTCTCTCACTGTCTCTTCCCCTCTCTCTAAAAATCAATGGAAAAATATCTTCAGGTGAAGATTAAAAAAAAAAAAAAGCTTATAAAAACAATTATGTAAAAATTGACTTTACAAAACACTTTTAAAGAAAATATTTTCAGATTGTCAGAGTTGACTGACATATTTATATCAGTAACACAAAAGTAAATACAAATTCCTTATGTAACTGCCCTATAATACAACTATAAAACAAATATAAAAATTATAAACCTACAAAACAAATATAATTCAAATGCATAAATTTAATGTGATACATGATACAATGTATGATGAAGCTAAATCATTGCTCACAATGGGACTATGGTAATTGCTTTGAGTATTAGCATTTCCATATTACTATTATCATCAGGTACTATGCAATGACTCAGTACTCTCACCAATCCCTTGCAACTGTTATGGAACCTTACTATGCACTGGATGGTTTTCTAACCATGATGGCATGGAAACATCATTTAAATATAAGATCTGCAAACCATCATGTGGTAGGTCTTTAAAATTTAGAGTGATGTATGTCAATTATTTCTCAATAAAACTGGAAATAAAAAGGTTTGCCTTTGTGCTTTTTCTATCAACTCTAATCAACTCTATTGGTGCCAATACAATTGTAAATACAAATGCAAATCTGTCAAGGTAGCCGGCCACATGATCTGGGAAAGCCTGGCTTATTTATTTAATACATTTTTAAAAAGATTAAAAGCAGAACATTAAACCCAATAGTCATTTAATAGGTGACATCAGAATAAAAAAAGTTTGAAGTTTTGTTCTAAATTTATTTTCATTTATAAGCACTGCTTACATTGGAAAATCTTCATCTTGCCATTCTTCCTTAAGTTCTACACCTTCCATCCTTAGCTTGGACTCAATGTCAACTACAAACTCCTGATAATCCAGAGAGCCAATGTCCTGTGAAAAGAGAAAAATTTATAACAACTTATTTGTCATTTTACTTTTTATTGGCTGAAAAGGTACAATAATCTTATATTTTAGCTCACACCTCTAGCTTTAGCTCAATGGTCTGGTCATAAAATCAATTTACTGGGTTGCAACTACCATTTAAAAAGAAATTTGAATAGAAAATTATATATATATATTTTCATAGTTGTTTTTAGTTGCAAAAATGCATGTGTCCCAGGTTATAAGTCTAGAACAGCCGTGGGCAAATCCGGCCCGTTTGAAATGAATAAAACTAAAAAAAAAAAAAAAAGACCGTACCCTTTTATGTGATGATGTTTACTTTGAATTTATATTAGTTCACACAAACACTCCATCCATGCTTTTGTTCCGGCCCTCCGGTCCAGTTTAAGAACCCATTGTGGCCCTCAAGTCAAAAAGTTTGCCCACCCCTGGTCTAGAAGATAAACCATGTCTTTTAGCAGTGTTACCCCTTGAACAAGTATATCATTAGAAAACAACCCCTCTAAATACAGAGAGCCTGAGTATTTCCGCTCTCTCAGCCAATTCATTCAATTTTCACTTTAATGTCATACTGAATCATGTGATGTTAATACAGTAGAGTGTATAAACGTGGCTAGTTTGGGGAAGAGAGTGAAAGATATATTCACTCTTAAACATTTCGTCGCAAACTTTAGGCAGAAAAGTACAGTAGGTAGATAAAAACAGTTGAAACAATTGAGAGAGTACTGTTCTTGGAAGAACTTTATCAGCAGCTCTAATAACAGGAAACAAACAAGAAAGGAGCAATATAAGCACAATCACTGAAGGATATTGCTGATTTAGAAGTTAACTGGCTGCTTCCCATTTTTGTAAATTAGAATGAGGGGAAAAGGAATGAGGAAATAATAATTTAAGAGACTATTTGTTAAAATAACCCAATGCAGCCCTAGCTGGTTTGGCTCAGTGGATAGAGCGCTGGACTGCAGACTGAAGGGTCCCGCGTTCAATTCTAGTCAAGGGCACATGCCCAGGTTGCAGGCTCATCCCCAGTAGGGGGTATGTAGGAGACAGCTGATCAATGATTCTCTGTCATCACTGATGTTTCTATCTCTCTCTCTCTCCCTCTCCCTTCCTCTTTGAAATCAATAAAAATATATTTGAAAAATAAAATAACCCAATGCAACAGGAATAACCTGATTTCTCAACAGACTTATGGTAGCTGTGGCATTTCATTACTTTTGCCAGCTATGAGTGAAGGTCATAGAGATAAATTAAAAACAGTCGTTCGCTTTAGTGAGGTTAAAAATCAAGGAGATAATGGATTTCCTCCTTTACCACCAAGAAGGGGATTTCCCCAGTGCAGCTTAGCAGTATAAGCAAAAGTTAAATATTAAGATCATATTTAGAACTGTCTGAATTATAATTTTACATGGTAACTTTACTATTATGTAGTTTAACACTGCTGCTGGAATAGGTACTAGTAACCACATCTATGCTGAAATCAATTACAGTTGGCAGAAGGAAATGCCCAGGCAAGCTTTTCACTTCCTCATTTAAGTGAAAGGGATTCATTCTAAATATTTATGTTCACTTTTCCTATGAGTTTGGCAACACTGTTAGCATTACAGGAAAATAATTTAGGCCATCCTATGTGTTTATGAAGATCACCAAGCACTCCTGGAAAAATCCTATATGCTTTCTTGTCATGTAGGTTTTTTAGAATGAAATGACCCAATGTCACCTCACACCTGTAAGAGTGACTAGTACAAAAAAGACAAGAAATAAGCGCTGGGGAGGACGTAGAGAAAAAAGAATCCTTGTACACGGTTGGTGAGAATGTAAATTGGTGCAGCTACCTGGATAACAGTATAAAGGTTCCTTAAAAAAATAAAAGCAGAACCACCATATGAGTCGGCAATTCCACTCTGGGTATTTATTCAAAGGAAATAAAATCTATTTCAAAAAGATATGTGCACTTCCATATTTACTGCAGCATTATTTACAATAGCCAAATATGGATAATATGGATACCACTTAAGTGCTCATAAATGGATGAATGGATAAAATGTGGTATGTGTATATGTGTACACACACACACACACACACACACACACACACACAGAGGAATATTATTCAGCACATAAAGGAAGATATTGCCATTTGCAACAAAATGGATGGACCTCGAGGGCACTATGCTAAGTGAAGGACAAATACTGTATGACTTCACCTACATGTGGAAATCTAAAAAGCAACACAAAAACAAAAAATTAAAACTGAGCTCATAGATACACAGAACAGATTGATGGGCAAAATGAGTGAAGGGGGCCAAAAAGCACAAATTTCTAGTTATAAAGTAAATTCTGGGGATGTAATGTACAGCATGGTGACTACAATTAATAATACTGTATTATATATTTGAAAGTTGCTACAAGAGTAGATCTTAAAAGTTCTCAGCACAAGAAAAAAATTTTTGTAACTGTGTGGTGATGGATATTAACTAGACTTAATTGTGAACATGTCACAATATATACAAATATCAAATCACATACACCTGAAACTAACATGTTCTATGTCAATTATAGGTCTATTAAAACAAAGAATGAAATGAGATACTCTATCAGGAATGTTAACACAAAATTTAAGAAAAATTATAATGGTGCTGACTTTTCTTAAAATTGTGAAAATAAAGCAACGAATAATTATCCCACCTATAAAAGACACATGCTGAGACCTTTTAAAGGACTGAAGTCTAATAACTGATCTCTAACACTTTCTGGTAGTTACAAATATTATAATTTTGGGATATTACTATCATCATATTATGCTAGCATTCTGCTTTACAGAAGGTAAGCTTAACAAGAGGTCTTTCAATCCACCGCCAGCCAGGGTTAATTTCTCAGATCTGGCTAAATATACCACTTCCTTTCTTCCACGCCTTCCTTCCTCCCTGCTCCTTCTACCAGCATTACTCCTGACGGAATGAACAGAACTGCTTCCCCAAAGAGGGCTTTTCACATTTACTAACCACTTGCACATTCATCATTTCATATGTTCCAACCAACCATTTTGTGAGGTATAAAAAACACTGGTGTTATTATCCTCGATTTATCACATATATGAGGCAAATGACACTACACCCTGGTTCCCAGGCCTAGACTGCTTCTAACACAGCAGTGTCTCCAGTTCACTGGCAACTTTACACAGAATAAGCCTGTAATGCCAGATTTGGTGACACTTAGCTTCAAAGGTCTTGTAATGCCTAATGACGCCAACAATACTGACACGTTTGCAGACGCGGACCTGTAATACTTCCTGTCTAAACCCAACAATAGCAGGCTGCAATAGAGAAGATTATGAAGACTAATAGAGCTCAGAGAAAATGCAAAAGGACAAGAAATAGGAGAAGGAGTGTGAGATCATCAAGAAAATAGTCTGCAGGGTAATAACTAACTTCAGGTGCAATTTTGAGGAATCTTATCATTTACAAATTGCGAATTACAAACGATCAGAGAAAGAATACATTTAATTTAAAAAGTTAAGTTAAGCATTAGGAGAAATAGAGCTCTTCATAAAAAAAAAAAAGGTGAGGATGAAAAATGCAATCACTCACTTCCACTATGTGGAAGGCGCTACGACCACCTTGAGGGGCGGGGAGCGTCTGGCCAGGGAAATCATTCGGCCTGGCCCTGCCAAGGCATTCGGGGTGCGTTAATTAAATGGATGACCCAAGACAGCGGGCTAATTTTTAAGTTGATAATTTTGAGTGGCCCTCGAATGATGTTATAAATATCCAAACGGCACTTGGCAGAAAAAAGAGCTCCCGGAACAGACAAGGGAAGTTTCAAAGCAAGGCAGCAGAACCAAATAAAGTTTTCATTTCACGTGAGTTGACCTAGATCCCCAGTGGCATCAAATGCACCCAGGACACCGAAACCATTTTTTTCGCCAGATACTTAGGCAAAAGATAGCGTCCGAATGCACGCAGAAACCCGGCTTTTCAAGCGGGAAGGTCTACTGACGCCCTGATGGCAGATGCCGCTTCCGTGTTGACTCTCCGAAGGCAGGAGGCACATCAGAAGTCCAGGTTTCTTTGTTCTGCACCGGGACGGAGGCTGGTCACAAACAGGGGACCGACGTGGCCCAGTCACCGCACCCAGACCGGGGTGTGTGCAGGAGTGGAGGGTCGGGAAGGGGGTAGGTTGCAGCCGGTGTACAACCCCAGAAACGGAAAAGGGGGTGGAGGTGCAAGGATGGCCAAGCAAACAGGAGCCGAGCCAAGGGCGGGGGCCGACGCTGGGCGGGATCCGGGAAGCGCCACCGGGCAGGTTCTAGGGCGCCCCCCACCAAGGGTAACCCTCCGCGCTGCCTCTCTCTGGCCCGCCGGGGGCACGCGACCCTCGGCCGCTCGCCCCTACGCTGGTTCCCAGCCCGCAGCCGGCATGCCCAGCCCTCCCGGGCCGCACTCACCCCGGAGGAAGCCTTGGCCCCCTCGTCTTCTTCGCCCCTCCAGGCCGGCGACGTGGGGCTGACGGCCAGGTCGCAGAAGGTAGCGCCGAGCGGAGCCCGCTCCCCTCGGACCGCAGTGGAGACTCGAGCCCAGGACCCCGGCCACAGATGCAGCAGTAGCGGTAGCGGCGTCGCTGACCCGGATGCAGAGGGCAGCCCCGGCGGAAGTGACTACCTGCGGACCTTCTTGCAGGCGCCGCACCCGGTGGAGACGGAGGCGCAGGCGCGGGCGCGGGCGGAGGCGCAGGCGCAGGCGCGGCATCATCTTGAAACCCCTGAGTCCCTCCCCCTACCCGCTCAGCCCGCGGAGAGTCACCGTGCGCATGCGCCGCGCGGCCGCCCTCCCTTACTGCCCGGCTGGCGGGGCACCTTTTGTGGGGCCCGTCCGAGGCTGTAGGCGCAACCCTGACCTGCGCTGGGACGCAGCCTAGCGTCCCAAATAGCCATTTTTATATTCTTTATGTTGTTATTATTGATCGCTACAATAACTGTATATTATAAAATGGACAAAATGAAGGGAGGAAAGGTATCTGAGGCCTCATTTGGGGGAACTAGCCCTCAGAAGAATCCAGAGTTCGGGAAAACTCGAGGGTGAACAGCCTTAAAACAGTAAATTCTCAAACTGTAATGTAGGAAGCGATCAATTTATTATTATTTTTTTTAAATTTCCAATTAGTTGTGAACCATGCTTTGGTAAGATAAAAATATAACCATTTTATCATTAGAGCCAGTACCCATCAATTAGCTGCTTAATTTCCATAAAGGTTTCTAAATGCTTACTCTCAATTTCTGTGCTATTCTTGCCGCAGACCAAGTAACAACCAGCTCTCTAAAGGGACCAGGTCTGTGGATCATACTTTGAGGAGCAACCCTGCTCTACAACTTCAAGGAAATAGGATTAGTTTGGAGAACATCATAATCCCGCACAGAAATCTCACTAAATCCCTACAAAGGCCCAGCAGTCTATTATTTGGGCAAAGCATTAGGGAATGGTGGGGCACAGAGTAACTGAAAAGCTCAAAAATCTAAATCGTTGGTCCAAAATGCAGCTCTTGGGTTTGCATTGCTTTAACATTTACTCACTGTTGGTAGGTTGTTAAATTCCCTGTGTCTCATGGATAAAATGGGGGCAGGGAGGGGATAATAACTATTTAATAAGGTTTTTGTGAGATAAAGTCATATATACATATACGGGGGTGAACAAAAGTAGGTTTACAGTTGTTCGTATGGCAAATAATACAATAATAAATAATAATGCAAGAATAAACTTGCATACTCACAACTGTAAACTTACTTTAGCGACCCTGTATATGAGAACAGTACTTGGTATATTGTAATCATATATGTGCTAGGTATTATTATCGTCCTTCTATTCTAGAGATTTTGTTAAATAGCTGGCAGAGAAAACAAAACTGATCAAATGATGAACAGTTTTAACTGAACTTCTTGGGCCATGCTCCTGTAACTTCATCTGCATTTACAGACTTTTCATGGTTCCAGATTTTGCTTATTTCAATCCTGCAATGAGTAGTGTTCTCCACAGGGTGGCAGGAAATAATTTGAAATCATATACAATGATTTCACAATCTGTAGTTTATTTTTCATTTCAGTAATTTTATTGTTTAATAAGCTTAATCAGTGTTTGCTTTGGTTTTGAATAAGGCCTTCTACTCTTTGTCTTCTTATCCCCATCTCATGAATTATCTATACTTATAGTTGAAATGTTAGAAACTTACAGATACTAGGTGTACCGGTAAATAATGTGGATTTTTTCAATAGATGGAGTTACACATATGTTGATATATATGCGATTTGATATGTATGCTATTTTGTTGTATTGCTCCTTCAGATTACCACTTGTTCTGATTGATGGCACACGCACTTTCTGAGCAGCACTTCAAAACATACGAAGAAGTGGAAAATTGAGTCTCTGAATGGTTTGCCTCAAAACAAGAAAACTTCTATTGGGACGGTATCCACAAATTACCTGAAAGGTGGGGGAAATGTGCAGCTAGCGATGGACATTACTTTAAATAAAGCACTTTTGATGTTTCTCTTGAAAATATGGTGTTTTCTTTGACTACAAAGTTAATAATGTGGATTAATTATTAACCGGTTAGTAATGCGGACTAACTATTGACTGGTTAATAATGCGGATTAGCCCTGGCTGGTGTGCCTCAGTGGATAGAGCGTCCGCCTGTGGACTAAAGGGTCCCGGATTCAATTCTGGTCAAGGGCACATGCCTGGGTTGCAGGCTGATCCCCAGTAGGGGGTGTGCAGGAGGCAGTTGATCAATGATTCTCATCATTGATGTTTCAATCTCTCTCCTTCCTCTCTAAAATCAATAAAAATATATTTAAAAAATAATGCGGATTAACTATTAACCCGTTAATAGTGCGGATTAATTATTAACTGATTAATTCGAATTAATTTTTGACCGGTTAAAAATGCGTATTAACTATTGACCGGTTAAAAATGTGGATTATTAGCTGGTTAATAGTGCGGATTAACTATTAACCAGTTAATAATATGGATTAACTATTAACCAGTTAATAATGCAGATTAATTAACCATTAACCGGTTAATGCAGATTAATTATTAATTGGTTAATAATACAGATTTTGTAATCCAAATAAAACATGATAATTTCAAGAGAAACATCAAAAGTGCTTTATTCAAAGTAATGTCCATCGCTAGCTACACATTTCCCCATCTTTCAGGTAATTTGTGGATACCGTCCCAATAGAAATTTTCTTGTTTTGAGGCAAACCATTCAGAGACCCAATTTTCCACTTCTTCATAACATTTTGAAGTGCTGCTCAGAAAGTGCGTGTGCCATCAATAGGAACAAGTGGTAATCTGAAGGAGCAAGGTCTGGTGAATATAGCAGGTGGGTTAATACTTCCCAGGCAAGATCTTTTAACCTGTCTTTAACTGGTTTTGAATTGTGTGATGGTGTGTCATCATGAAGCAAAATTACTTTGCCGTGTCTTCTGGCCCATTCTGCTTGTTTTACGATCAAAGCATGGTTCAAATTGATTATTTGTTGTTGGTAGCGATCAGTATTAATGGTTTCACCTGGTTTTAGAAGCTCATAATACACCACACCTTCCTGATCCCACCAAACGCAGAGCATTGTCTTCTTTCCGAAGCGATTTGGCCTTACAGTTGATGTTGATGGTTGACCTGGATCAACCCATGATTTTGTGCATTTGAGATTCTCAAAATAAATCCACTTTTCATCGCCAATCACAATTCGATGCAAAAAAGACTTTCTTTCGTGCCACTGAAGCAACATTTTACTGATGACTTTTTGGTTTTCCATTTGTCTTTTGTTCAGTTGATGTGGCACCCATTTTCCTTCCTTTAAAATCTTTCCCATTGCTTGTAAATGATCGGAAATTGTTTGCTGAGCAACGTTTAATCTTTCTGCAAGTTGTTTTTGAGTTTGACACGCATCTTCATCCAATAATGCTTGTAATTGTTGGTCTTCAAACTTTTTCGGTTGAACTGGACATTCTTTGTCTTTCACATTGAAATCGTCACTTTTAAAGCGTTTAAATCAGTGTTCACAAGTATCTTGAGATGGAGCATGTTCACTATAGCTTCCTGAAGTATATGATAACTTTCAGCAGCACTTTTCTTCAAAATAAAGTAATGAATTAAAACTTCCCACAAATGCTCTTTTTTTTGGCATGAAATTCAACATTTTTAAGCGTAAAAATATCTATGATGTTAATACCTTCAGAAAATTTGACATATGAAGTTTTGAAGCTTGCTGTCAATACAACAAAATAGCATACATATCAAATCGCATATATATCAACATATGTATAACTCCATCTATTGAAAAGAATCCGCATTTTTAACCGGTACACCTAGTAAAGCAAACAAGATAATCATATTAACATATTTATGTATATCCTTTCAGATTTTTGTATATATTTCTATATAAATAGCACATATGTGTTTTTATAAAATTGAAATAATTTGTAACAAATAGTTATTAATTTAATTTTCTCTTTTCATTTCAAAATACTAGTATATCATGAACTTGTTTTCAGGTCATATAAAATTCAATAAAATTTTTAGTATGGATAATTTATGTACTAATAATTCCTTATTGAACATTTAGGTTGCTCCATTTTTTTTTACAGTTAAATGACACTTAATAGAATGTTTAAAAAGTCAGAAACATAGGACTAACGTTTTCAAACAATATACTAGTTAACATTTTCAAATAATATGCTCAATATATTTTCCTTCAACACTTAGGTGAAATGCCTCTAAATAATTGGTCCAGCTGTAATCTGATGAAAGTGTAAAAAATATTATTTCCCTGCATTTCCAGATTTTTGGATAATCTTTAGTGTATTTTTTATAATCACTTGTTTTTTTCCATGTATCTCCTTGAATAGTCAGATATTTAGACTTTTAAAATTTTGGAAAATAATTCAGAGGGAAAAAGTATAGCTTCCATTCCCTAAGTAGAAGGTATCATTTGAAAAGTGATAGATTAGTTCAGAGCCACTATTAAACTTATGCTTTGTGGTTTCTGACTTAGGTATTATGTTTAGAATAGGCCTTCCTCACCCTAAAATTATAGAATTAGTCATAGTTGTTTCTTGTTTCACCTTTACAAAATATGAACATTAAATCCAATTGGAATTGTGTATATATACTTATTAGAATGAGGTAGGGAATCTGATTTTACTAAACTGATGAAATAGTTTGCCTAATATCATTTATTAAATATTCCAGTAATTCTTGAACTGTACTAGGTCTCAATCAAATGAATGTTTGCCTTCAGAGTTAAGTTACCCACTTCATTCAAATTCCTATTCATAAATCTTATGACAAACCTTTATATCCATTCACAAGCCATCATTGGACAAATCTTTATTGAACAACACTTGCGAGTCAATTCTGTTGGGCCCTGAGGGTACAGATAAAAAAGACACAATGTCTACCTTCAGGGAGCTCACTGACTAGTTAGGGAGAGGGGCAAATGAAGACATTCAACACCTTGGTGGATTGAAGTGACCTTGGTACTTCCAAGGTGCAGTTAAATAGAAGGTAGTTAAACAGATTGGGGGGATGGGAGGTGTGGTCAGAAAAGAAGATTTCCTAAAGGAAGTGATCTTCAGTAATAAGAGGAGGAGCTTTCAAGCAAAGGGAATGGCATATACAAATGCAAAGAGTCTGCTAGGAACTGCGCATTTTTATCATGACTGGAGCACAAACAGTGAGAGGATGATTGGGTGAGAAAAGCCA